GACTCATGTTCATCTTGGAGTCCACTAGGACTCCAAGATCCCTTTCCGCTTCCGTTCCACCAAGCAGGTCATTTCCTAGGCTGTAGGTATGCTGGACATTTTTCCTCCCTAGGTGCAGCGCTTTGCATTTCTCCTTGTTGAATTGCATTCTGTTTTTAAGGCCCAACTTGACAAAGCCCTGGAAGGAATGATGTAGCTGGGGATGGTCCTGCTTTGAGCAGGCGGTTGGACTAAATCAGTGTTTCTCAACCTTTTTTTGTGCCAGGACCCATTTGTAAACATCAATGGCCGAATCCCAACCCAGTGCCCTTCACTCCTGACCCACTATCTCCGTTCCCCAGGTCCCAGCCCCCACAGTGTGTGGGTCAGGGGGTGGGTGTGTGTGGGGCATGGGAGGCCCCAAGCAGCCACTTGCCACCTGGAACTCTGCCAGCCTGCAAGGGAAAAGCCACGGTTTCTCACATTTTTCTTCTTTAAAGGAAAATCCATTTTTAATGTTTGTTCACAGCCCTTTCATATATTCTTGTGACCCATGGGCTGAGAAAAAATGGACTAAATGATCTCCTGAAGTCCCTTCCAATCCTAATCTTCTATGATTCTATGATTATATCATGGATCACATGGAGGCATTCGCATACCTAACAGTGCTAATACTGCATGGTACCCTATGCCACCCTTAAAAGGATCTCATGGTATCCCAGGGTGCCATGGCACCATGGTTGAGAATCACTGCACTAGATAGTTCAATGACCAATGTGGGGATAGGATTTTCTTGGCTTCTCATCCTCTTTACAAATAAATCATTGCAGAGAGGTACAAAGAGGAATTTGGCCAACTAGGACATCAAGTCCTTGTGTTTATTTTGCACTGAATTAATCCCCAGAATTTCCAGAATAAAAGTTTTATATCCTACAAATGATTCTACCCCCTTCATATCATCGGGTATGTGGCATGTGAGTAAAGGAGGGTGGAGCAAGATGCTCAAAGGCATTAAAAGTAGGTATCCCTCTTCCCAAAGAGCTTGTCCTGGTTATTTCCTCTGCCTCCCTCTGCAGAGGCATCTAACAGATTGCTTCAGTTCTGGGACAGCTGTGTAATCACACTTAGCATTTAAGTGTTTTCAAGAGACATTCTGCCATGTTTTAGGCAAGGAAAACAAGAGCTTATCAGAAAAGAAGCTTTGAAATCCTTGTAGCAATTTCACATTTACCGTATAATGCTTTTCACAGCTTGTAGATACTGCCTCTCACTTGCATCCTACATATTGAAAATTTGGGGTGTAACCTAGACACCAGTAATAAAAAGAACATACCATGTTTCATTTCAACAACGGGCAGATCGAAAAGCCTCTGGAGCAAATTCAGGTGGATCTTGCTGTCACAAAGGAGAACAGATTTTGTTTCTTCAGCAACAGCTCCATTAGAGAAATATTTCTTCAGACAAATGCATATGAAAGAAAAGATTTTGTTAGAATTCTAGGCACCTTTTTTCCTTAGTTATTACAATACTTTTTAAAGAAAATGTTCCCTCCAGCTTCTTAATCATTTTGATTTTTCTTTTCTGTACCTGCTGAAATTGTCTTTCTATATAGTACCTCTATTAAAATTCAGTTCTAGACACAGTCTCTCCACCCACAACTACAGAGGGACTAATTCCTTTGGGCTCCTTCATATCCAGCTCAGAAACAAACTTTGCATCTGTAATGCCTGGGACTTTTCTATATTTGTCTATGCATGTGTGTACCAGTATTATCAACCCAAGCTATTGTCCCCTTTTGAATAGAACATCAGTCCACTGAATATGATCATATGAGTATGATCATATATCACCTCTTTCAGAAATGAAAGGGTATAAAAGCCTAGCACTATGATGGTCCCCTTAGTTCCAGTTGTACAGGTGGATGTTTCAGAGGCAGAGAACCTTTGGCTCATGTATAGTCCATCTGTACAAATCTGGTTGCTGAGATGCATTGTAAAGTTGTGCTGATTAGGTAACTAAGAAATCCCATAGCTTCCTCAGGGGTTGCACTGGTGGTTGCAAAAGCTCCAGGGGCACAGCATATGGAACAGCTGATGACCGTAAAGTTTATGCAGCTGTGTAATTGATACAGATGGTTATAGAAAATTTGCTGCCTGCTGGAGATCAATTTCAGCATTAGCACTTTTCAAGTGACTCTGCTATTATTAAATATTTGACTTGGAGTCTTCTTTTCTTTAAATATCCGGCTTCATTTTTCTCTACTGAAATTAATTTTGTTTTTTCCTGCCCATATTTTCTTGCATTCCATAGATAAACTTCTATATTTTTCCTCTAGCATCATTTGTGTTTGCAACACCTCATAAATTAACATTATCTGCTAATTTAAGTGATATACTGTTCACTTCCTCCCTAGACGTTTCCCTTTTGCATATTTACTATGAAACCGAGGGTAGCACTATAACATTTTGGGACTGAAAGACAGGAGTCATCTATCCTAACCATAATTTAAGGCCTGTTCTTGCTAGCATTTGCTTTTCTTATCCTTTGATATTTCTTTAAGATGTCAAACTTCTTTTTTAATCAGTTCACAGTTCATCTACTTTTGTGGCTAATAATCTGTTCCATATACTAATTAACCTTTGGCTAAATATATGCCTTCTAATCTCTTTTAATACTCATCTCTTAGTTTCTTTTTGTGCTCTCTTGCTGCTTGTAATTCCATCAACCTCTTGCTACAGCAACATTCCCTGTACCATGTAGCATACTTTCTAAAACAAATTTCCTTTCTTTCCCTATTCATTCAGTGCCCCAGCTCGCCATACACCTATTCTGGGTTACAAATATAAAAAAGAGAATTCCTCCAAATTTTGTGAAATTACCATTTTATCATTCTGTTTTAAATCATTTAGATGTATATTATTATAGCTCTGAGTAACCACATTGATTTAAGCACTGATTGATTTAAGCACATTGATTTTACCTCGGTCCTTGGGAAGACCTTTGAGAAAATTATCAAGGAGCACATCTGCAAGGGCCCAGCAGGGGAGGTAATGCTCAGGGGCAACCGACATGGGTTCATTGAGGGCAGATCCTGCCTGACTAACCTGGATTCTTTTTATGATCAGGTCACAAAGTCCCTGGATGCGGGTGTTGGGATGGATGTCGTTTTCCTGGACTTTCAGAAGGCCTTTGACATGGTTTCCCACCACATTCTCTTAAAAAAAACTTAATGACTGTGCGGTCTGAGTGGTGGCAAACTGGCTAGATGGTCACACCCAGGGAGTGGTGGTGGATGGGTCATTTTCAACCTGGAGGGATGTGGGCAGTGGAGTCCCCCAGGGCTCAGTCCTGGGGCCTGTACTGTTCATCATCTTTATCAGTGATCTGGATGTGGGGATGGAAAGCATGCTGTCCAAATTTGCTGATGACACCAAGTTGTGGGGCGAGGTGGGCACGCTGGAGGGGAGGGACAGAATCCAGCTGGATCTAGACAGGTTACAGAGGTGGGTGGATGAGAACAGGATGGAATTCAACGCAGACAAGTGCAAGGTGCTGCATCTAGGGAGAAGGAACCAGCAACACACCTAGACGCTGGGGAACACCCTTCTCAACAACACAGTGGGAGAAAGGGATCTGGGAGTCTTTGTTGACTCCAAGATGGACATGAGCCGCCAAATGCGAGGAAGCAGTCAGTAAGACTAACCGCACCTTGTCATGCATCTACAGATGTATTACAAGCAGGTACAGGGAGGTGATCCTTTCCCTATATGCAGCATTGGTCAGGCTGCAGTTGGAGCACTGCATCCAGTTCTGAGTGCCGCACTTCAAGAGGAGTGTGGCTAGCATTGAGAGGGTCCAGAGGAGGGCCACTCGCATGGTCAAGGGGCAGTGGGGCAGGCCCTATGAGCAGAGGCTAACTTGACCACCTCTTCTGGCACAACATCCTTGCATGCTTTTAGCCTTTTTTTTTAACCCTTGTCTCTGAACTGAGATTATTTTTCCAAAGATAATTACTTTTCCCACTGAGATTATGATAATCTTATACATATTCCTTATGATAAATCAATTTTTCTCATCCTACTTGATCTTTTTGATTTTTAGCTATTTTTATTATATACTGTTTGTCTGCTTGTAGTGCTCAGGGGCTGCAATTATAGAGTTGCATTTCCTTGGGTGCTGTATAAAACAGGATTTTAAAGAAAAGGCTGGATAGGCATCTGTCTGGGATGGTTTAGGCACAGTTGACTCTGGCATCTGTGCAGAGGCTTGGAACTGATGGGCCTTGAAATCCCTTCCAAACCAATGGTTCTATGATTTTAAAAAAGTTTGTCCCTGCCCCAAAAGTCTTACAGTCAAAACATATAGGAATGTAGGCTGGGAGGGACTTCCTGTATCACTGAACCTAGTTGCTGGCTTTCATGTGAACCTGTGATCGTGGAAGTTTGTGCTCTGTATATATAGCCTTTTTAGTTAGTCTCTAAAGGTGCAGATCTACCCTGCCTTCTGGCTGACTTCAGGCTAACATGGCCAACTACCTCTCTCTGCTCATGGATGTCACAAGTAACTACATCATATCATTTCTTTCATCAACTGCTCCAGCTGCACCTTAGAAGTTTTATGTCTCCGCTATCCAACAGGGAGTTCCAAAACCTCACTCTTATGATAGCTATAACCCATCTGCTGAGATCCAGCCCAAAATTAATGTTGGCCAGTCTGAAGTAATCTTTTTTGAACATAGGTGACTAGAAGTGCACACAATTTTCCAGATGAGGTCTTGTACCTGATACACTGACATTAAAATTTCCCTGCCTCTGCTGGAAGTACCTTGCCTATAATGCCCTAGGATCACATTTGCCCTTTTCACAGCTGCATGACACTGGCAGATCGTAATCATCTATAATTAACACACCAAAGTCTTCTTCACCTAAATTGGTTCATCTGATGAGACCCTAGCTTATAGCATGAATTCTTCATGTTATTCCCTAAGTGCATAGCCTCACAATTTGTACTATTAGATTTCAACCACTTTCTGTTATCCCAGTCCTCAAGGTCATCACATTCTTCCTGTATTATAGTCTATTGCCCCTCTTTATTGGCAACTCTCTTCCCTGCCCCCAAATTTTATATCAGCAAATTTCATTATCACACTCCTACTTTTTGTGCTAAGGTCCTCAATGAAATATAAGATCAGTCCCAATCAATCCAGGAGGACATCCACTAGTAACTTCACTCCACGCCTATAGTTCCCCTTTTAACACAATCCATTTTTGTTTCCCATTTAGACAGTTCCTTACTGACCTTACAATACTTCTACTAATACACATCTACTCCAATTAAAATTATCATTTCTCATGTGGCATTATATCAAGTACTTTACTGATGTCTGGATAAATCAAGTCTACTGCGTTTCCCTTGTATCGGTAATCAATTTTATTGTCCAAGAAGGATATCAGGTTAGTTTGGCATGATCTACCTTTGGTAATATCATGTCTTTAACATTTTCAACAATCTCTTTGATTTAAAATTTGAACTAAAGCTTTGCATGCTAATTGTGGACAGACTAACAGACCTGCAGTTATGTGAATCACATTTTATTCCTTAAATATAGGTACTACCTTTAGATTCTGCAATTTTACATGACAGGTCTTACAGCATCCTGGAATGGATATTATCCAGCCCAAATGGTTAAACTGAATTGAGCTCTTTGGGCATTTGTACACGCCACAGGGGTTTACTTCAGTTTAATTCTCCCGAAATTGAAGCGGTGGGTCTTTAGAAACACCGCTTCAATTAAAGGCAAAGTAAACCCCCGTAGCATGTACACAAGGGTCGGGCCCGACCCTTACCTGCTTCTCTGGCAGCGGGGAAGGGGGGGCGAGCTGCCAGCAGGCCAAGCGGTTCCTAAGCTGTCAGGGGTGGAAGGGGCTGGTGCTTCCCTCCACAGCAGTGGTGGTGCCCCCCAGGTGGCACCTGCCCACAAGCACCCAGCCTGAGCAGTCCCGGAGGGCCCTGAAGCTGCGGAGGGAAGCACCAAGCCCTTGCGCAGCTCAGGCAGACAGGCAGGCAGGCTCTGGGGACAAAAAAAACCCCAGGCTCGCCACTTTTTTTTTTACTTTAGTGGACCCTGCCTGCACAGGCTGTCTGCACAGCCCCTGAGATGCACGGGCCCCGGTGCTTCCCTCCACAGCAAACTAAACCACCTCGGAGATGTTTTATTTTGTTGCATCCCAAAGTCATTTAACGCGCATTACGCCGCCAGCACATGTAAACACCCCGCCATTAAAGTGCATTACGCTGCCAACCCATACAAATAGCTGCACCATTAAAGCGGTGCAAAAGGGCATTAAGCTGCTTTAAAGACTAATTTTGTGGCATGTACAAATGGCCTTTGAATTTTCAATCTCGGATGTGTGAATTTTCACTGACATTCCCTCATTCCCATTAGCCATCCTGC